CTTCTCTCTCTCTGCATCACCCCTTAAGTAGCTTCCCTTTCCTTTTCTGTCAAATCTTTCTCTGATTCTTCATTAAATCTGCCACTCAATTACACATCACTTTCAAACATGGCTGCTTCCTTCAGCAAAGTAACTTTACCTTCATTGCTTGGGATTAAAGGTGTGTGCCACTACACCTGGATACAAGCTTTTCTTTACTTGAAACTTACTCTATACCAGGCTGACCTTGAAGTCAGATCTGCTTGCCTCTGTCTCCTGGTTTAAAGGCGTGTTTATCTTCCAGCCGAATCACACAGACCTGGAAGGTCTTTGGATATAATCACTTGCCAGAACAGCCATGTTCTAAATTAATAGTTCTCTATACTTCTTGTCCACCTCCCACCACTAAAGCAGTTACAATATGTAGATGGCCTATAGACATTATTGCTTGCTTAAAAAAAATTATCTTGGGCACTAATAATTTGTACCTGACATATTTACATGCTAAGTTGGTACCTTATAATAGCTGGGGGTGAGGGTTTGTTTCACCATTACTCCCTCTCTGTGTGATGTAAGAACACATTATGAAATCCAGCCTCTTAGAAAAGAGGTAAGAGGACCAAGACTCTGTGAGGCACATTTGAGCTTCCCCATGCCTTTGCTTTGAGTAGAGATTCTGGCTAAAGACAGAGCATGAATCAGCAAAACCAACAAGAGACTTTTCACCCTTGTTGCCTTCTCTTTGGCAAGCACTACTCTTCACAGAAAGGCATTTTTCCATTGACTTCCTGGTCCAGGACCAGCTATATCCCATATGCTGACATCTGTCTCCTCACAAAACCCTAAGCACTGCAAGAGTTACCTACCTTGACAATGACGTGGAATGAGCTTAGAGCAATGGAACAACCACTGATGAGTGAACTAATGAGTGGGAGGCCCAGCTAGGATAAGGCATATTATCTATTACTGGAGACATAGCTGGAAATGGTAGGAGATTTGCAACCCAGCCAGCTTGGGTTAAAAAAGACAAAATCTAGAATCCCCAGTGTTGATCTTAATGTTACACTCTTCTCTGAGATTTTATTTCACCTTGAGAAAAGTACAATTTCTTTTTTTAATGAAGTATAAAAAGTAAACAGTGCCATAGAGATCCTAAGGACAGATGCCCCTCCCACATGGGAGGCTTCTCCTCTAAGCCAGGTGGCACAAAATGCCCTTGCTAGGGCAACAAATGAGGCTTCTTTTCTGTTTTATGCTGGTCTGAAAGGGCAAGATTGGTCTTCAAACCTATGACCCCCCCTTTATTAATTTTGGGGTGTTTTTTTTTTGTGTGTGCAGAAATGTTGTAAACTTCTCCCAAATCAAGGCCAAAAGCCCCAAGCCAGCTTACTTTATTCATCTAATGAGTCAGTCCTCTGGTCAGACTGCTATTTCATTGGAGTGTATATTTCATAAGCTCTTCCTTTGTGACCTTATATGGGGAAGGTGCTTTCCTGGGCTCCCTTCTTGCACTTGGTGTATGTCAGGCTTCCCCGGAGGCTTTGTTTTGCCCAACATTTTAATCTGTTGCTTTAGTTACAGTGCCTTGTGCTCTTGTCTCCCTTGTTGCATCCTCCATGGCTGAGGATTAAACCTGAGTCTTATTTTTGTGTGTTGAAACGCTTTACACTTTATCGTTATTACTCAGGGTGTGACCCATGCCTACCAACAGGCATCGTCATCCTCGGGAGCAGGTTAAACTGCTCAGTCCTACCTCAGATTGATTTGCCTTTTAACAGATTGTGATTTGGTTATCCATTAGAATTGAAAAGCACTTTGCACAGGGTCTCACTGCTTTTACTACAGTCATCATCATCACCTTCTGGGCCATCATCATCACCATCCTCTCACCATCACCACCACTATTTCATCATCATCATCATCATCATCATCATCATCATCATCATCATCATGATGGCAACACCTAGCTTTCACTGAGAAGGTTTCTCCTTTAATCCTCCCAACATTTGTTTGAGGCTTGTTCTGTTACTATTCCCACTTAATTGGGAAACTGAGGTAGGTTCAGTGAGATCATAGGATTTGTGTGATGTTATTCAGACAATGAGTGGTAATCCAGGCTGGCTTTAATCACAGCATCTTATCCCTTTGGCCTGGGGTCCTAACCAACTGGCTCTGTACCCTTACCTGATCCCTCACAGGTCAGCCATTTATTTATTTGTCATCTTACGAATCATAATGAAAGAAGAGTCAAATTTCTCAACCAGGTTGGTGTCAACTGCAGGGACCACCAGGTTTCCTCTACAGACACAAACACACACACACAGTAGGGAGAAGTAGCTGTTTTCCCTTTGTTCTGTCTGCTTGTCAGTGCCTTTTTGTCAAGGAAAGTGACAGATCTATGTTTGGTTTTGGTTTCTGCATTCTTCAAGTCACCATCTGTCTATAGGACAGTAGTTCTCAACCTGTGGGACACAACTCCTTTGGGAGATCAAATGACCCTTCCCCAAAGGTTGCCTAAAACAACTGAAAAACACAGATATTTATATTAGGATTCATAAAAGCAGCAAGATTACAACTATGAAGTAGCAATGAAAATAGTTCTATGGTTGGGAGGTGACCACCAGGTTCGGAACTGTATTAAAGGGTCACAGCATTTAGGAAGGTGGAGAATCACTGCTGTAGAATGTTCTGCTGGGCTTATGGAACTTTCATTCTTTGTTGTGGAATGAAGTGTTACCTGATTCTAGAATAACAAGCAAAGCCCAATTAAGAACATTAAATAACAACGTTCCCCCTTTGACAAACCATTGCGAAGGATAGAGTGCCATTGGCGTGTTCTGTAAAATGCCTTTGGGTCTTAAAGTAATTTAAAAAGAAGTGTGTAGTGGGTTTCATGTCCCTCAGCCTCTGAGAATGAGGTCCTTGTTATGGTCCCTGATAAAAGTGGCCTGCTTAGACTTGGAGGCTGTCCCCTCAGTATGGACTTCTTCCAGCCCTGTTGTAATAGTATACTGTCTTGAACTTGACCCTTGCAGAAGACTCATATTTATAGCTCTAATGTGAAAAAGAAAAAAAAAAAAAAAAAAAAAGAATAGACAAGTAACACGGCCTTGCCTCAAGAATCTTCCAGAGGTCATCAGATGCCTTAGAGACCTCAAAGTCAGGTTGGAACACCTATATCTCGTATGCTTTGGGCCAAAGGTTAATTACAGGAAGCCAATATCTGAGGCAGGAAGAGAGTAAACTCAGTGATTCTCAAACTGATTGCCAAACCGCCCGGATAGGTGCTGCTGAGGCCTTTAGAGGAGTAAGAGAAATGTGACACAGGATGGGTTCCCCAGCCCCTTCCTCGCTTTCAATTTCCCATTAGGGCAGTTTTATTATGTAACAGTTATGGGGCAACATATTTAATGCAGTGTTTCCATACAATAAAAAGCAACTGAGGCTAGTTGGAGTGGCATTCACCTCCTAAGTCCTCAGGTCAAGTGAGGCAGAAGGATTGCCAGTTTGAAATCAGCACTGCTTGGTCTGGAGAGTTATGGTGAAGGACACAGCTCAGAGGTAGATGCTTAAAAAAATAAACCAACTGAACCGATTTACTTTGTCCTTTACAATCAAGGGCAGCATGGGTCAGAAAGACAAATGGACTTCCCCAAGGTCACACTTTGTTTTGACTAAAAGCCATTTCTTGTGTTCCTCCTCTGGACACCTGGGCTGGCTGCCAGGTCTGCTGGGCATTGGCCTCTCTGCCGTCTGGATCAGCCCTTCTTAAAATTCAGCCACACTGACTTGGGTGAATATCCTTGGCATTTAGGACTCCTGGGTTTGTGTTTAGAAAACAAAACGCTGCTCAGATATTCTGAACAGAGCTGAGTCAAGAAGCTATATAAGTTCTGAGCACTGACTGTCTCACTCAGCCAGCCACCCTGGTTCCTCTCTCTTTCCTATCACTCACTCACTGACAGCAGCCTTGCACAAGATGGACTCCCAGCAAACACCAGCAGCTCCCCTGTGGTGCCATGATGCGACCCCTGATGTGGGAGAATGCGCATTCGGAGCACTCATAGTCAAACAGGAAAGATGTGATAAGAAAACCAAGATCACAAAAAACCAAAATGCCCTAGGAAAACACAAGCAATCCATAAGATACACTAATGAGAAAAATCGATGACATTTTGCAGTCTGGAGTAATGCCTGTGGGGGTAATTTCCATTTTATCACTCTTGTTTACCAGACATTCGTATTTGGCTGTGTGACAGATGATACGCAACTAAAAGGCATTTGGCTTTTGTTTTAATGACAGAGAAAGTCCTAACTGGAAAGGGAATGAAAAAAAAAAAAAAAAGAAAATCACAGTACAGAAGTCACATGCCAAGGACAAAGAAAAGTCACACTCAGGGACAAGTACAGAAACATTTTAAGAGCTGTTCTTAAAATGAATAGGGGGAGGGGCCAACAACCATTTCACAGGGGTCAAATATCTGCTACCCTGCAGGCCCCTGTTCAGCACTCCCACTCCTTTCTGTACCGGGGCACGCTAATCTTTGTCTCCTAAACCAGGGCCCTGAAATGCTGACCCAGCACCTGGGCCATCAGGCCCCTTACATGGGGCAAGCCAGGAACAGGGAAGTAGCAGTCTGGGGTGAGGGTGCCTTTCTGGTTGTTCGCCTCTTCTCACTGCCCTGTGCTTGCCACCTCTACTTCTAGCCCCTCTTTGTTCTCTCTCTGTTGGTTTACGAGGAGGCCAACATACTGCAAGAGAAAAGGAAGAGAGAGGAGCTTCTCCTGGTACTTCTGCCTTCGGTGTGGCATATTTAATCTGACAACAGCAGCAACAGACAAACACACAGTAGTGTCTCCTCTGCTTCTGTAGACAGGCTGGGCCTGTCTGTATCAGCAATGATACAGGCTGGTCTAAATGAGACAGGTGGAGGCAGCGCCCTAGTGGTGAGATTTAGGCAAGTTTTTTCCAGACACGTTGAATTGAATGAATTCATTAACTCCTGGCCTTTGTCTTTCAGGATTATGTAGAGAAGCATGTTGTGAAGAACTATTTCTACTACTACCTGTTCCGGTTCTCAGCCGCTTTGGGTCAGGAAGTGTTCTACATCACGTTTCTCCCCTTCACCCACTGGAATATCGATCCTTACTTGTCCAGGAGATTGGTCATGATATGGGTTGTAAGTATTTTGTCATTTTTACGATTTATCGCGAGGAAGGTGACTACCTGCTTTGGTATTCAAGTGTCCTGCACAGGTAGTCTTTCTTTCTTCAGATCACTTACAGGAGAATTTGCTGGCTAGTCAATTTTAGATAAAGCATTAAAATATAAGTGCATTGTGTTTGGAAAAAAAAAAAACATACCAACTCGTGACTTCATGTACTTTGATCTTTTTCCCCCCTTTTGTAAGTAAACAAGACTAGAAGACTGGTGAGCAGGGAACAAAGGAGCTTTGTAGGAATCCTGTGGGGTGTGGCATAAAACCTTCCAAGAGACTGTTTTGGTAAAATTTGATCAAGATCTAACTGTAAACTGTAGACCAGAAATCCCAAGCAGTGGGAGAGGAATACCTCTTCATACATTCGAGAGACCGAGACACCTGAGGCCGAGCGCCTTAGCTAAAGGGCAGCAGTTCTCAAGCCATGGGTCATGACTCCTTCGAGGGTCAAACCACCCTTTCACAGGGATCAGATGCCTGCTATCCTGCATAACATGTGTTTACATTATGATTTATTGCAGTAGTAAAATTGCAGTTATGAAGTAGCAGTGAAAATAATGTTATGGTTGGGGGTCACCACACGTGAGGAACTGTATTAAAGGGTCACAGTGTTTGGAAGGTCGAGAAGCACTGCTCTAGGGAGTAACGTAGGAGACAGCCGTGACAAGTCCACGTGTATAGTATGAGCCCCTTCCTGCCTTCTCCTCAGCACCCTATCTCTTATCCTTGCTTGTTGTTGTTTTGGGTTCTGTTTTCTTTCCCATGGACACGTGTGTGTGTGTGTGTGTGTGTGTGTGTGTGGTGTGTGGGTCCACACATGCTCACAGTGAGTGGGTGCACGTGTGTGGAAGATAGAGGTTGTCCTCCCCAAACATTCTCTACTCTTCTCAGTATGTGTGTGTGCAACTTCTTGCACGTGTGCACGTCAGCACGTGTGGCGGGCACATGCCTGCGTGCATGTGTGGAGCTACGTACATACCTTTCCATGTGATAGTCAGTACCTTGCATATTTTTCTTCGGACAGGCTGCCGTGTATCCTAGGCTTGCCTCAAACTCACTATGTTCCCAACGCCGACCTTGAACTTCTGACCTTCCTGTCCACCTCCCAAGTGCTGGGATTATAGGAATGTACCTCCAGTCGTGGTTTAATTCACACAGGATTGTGGGTTGGACTCAGGGCCTCGGGCCTGCCAAGCAAGCACCATATTAAATGAGCTACATTCCCAATTTGAGTTAGACAGTTTTTTTTTTAACCTTTCTTGACAAAATGGTATTTTATCCCAGAAAATTTAGACCAGCACTTTGTTACATGAGCTGAAAAGTATCAGTCAAATCATTGTCTTCCGTTTCTATTCCATGTAAGTATTTTAAATCTCTGGGCTCAAAAGCATGTTAGATTCAGGGACAAGAGAGTTCATGATTGGTCGTCTGATTAGAATCTCCGAAGGGAGACGCAGCTCTGCTTGGTAGGGAGATGAGCCGACATCTACAGTGGGATTGTCTTAGCTCTTGCCTCACATTTTGATGCAATGAACCCCCCCACCCCCAGCAAAGGCATTTGTTGGTAAGATATACAAGGAAAAGATGGGTACATCGACAAGAATCAAAATTGGTGGATTATATTTATAAAAAAAGACTAGAGCTCAGGCTAGCCTTAACAGAACGCACTGATTAAAGAGTGTGATACATATATGTTATCACCTAATGCATATATGTTAGAGAAGTGGGACTATATTTTTTGATAATAAATTCTTAAAATTTGACTACTGGGAGTGGGTTGGGCAAGGAAAATCACAAAGACAAATTATAGCTGAACCAGAAGTCAAACAGCAAGTACCACGTTTTCCAAAAGCTGGTCCCTGCTGTTCTTTACTGGGGTTAAAGACATATGTCAGGGTTACAAGGATGAAAGTTTTTGTCTGTCTGTTTTTGAGACAGGGTCTCAGCATGTAGTCTTGGCTGGCCTGGAACTTGCTGTGTAGATCAGGTTGGCCTCGAACTCATAGAGGTCTGCTTCCTTCTGCCTTACTAGTGCCAAAATTAAAGGTGTGTGTCCCTACAACTGGCTGCTCAGTGGTACGAGTGCTTGTCTGACAAGACCCTGGGTTTGAACCCTGGCATTAAGTGAGAAAACATGCGCATGACTTTTTTTCTGGTTGTTCCCTTTGTTTCATTCACCTACTTTAAATTTTATGTCTGTATTTTTTTTCACGTCTGTACGTGTTGGAGGTTCTATAACATGTGTGTAGAGGTCAGAGGTCTCTTCTTCCACCATGTGGGTTCAGGTGATTGAGCACAATGCATCAGCCATTTTTGCCAGGTACGTTTTTTTGCTGAGCCATCTTGCTGGCCCCTTTCCCTTTAGGTTAGACACCCCCTCCCCACTGTTTTACCCTCTGATCTCTTGGCTCCTTTTCAGCCTTTGGGTTTGAGATGTCTATCTTTTGGCACTTAATGCTCTGGCCTGCAGTTTTTCTGTTCCTAAAATAGCTTGCTCATCAGGGAAGCAGCTTTTGGGAAACCTGGTACTTGCTGTATAACTTCTGGCTCAGCTACAATCTGCCTGTGGTTTTCCTTGCCTGCCCACCCCCATCCCTCTATAGTACAATTTTAAACATTTATTATAAAAAATGTATTCCCACTTCTTTAATATATATGTATTATTTTAAGGTACGTGTTATTATAGTTAAGCCATTTCAGTTTTTCTGATTATGTTGCAAGCGCTTTGCTGATTCTGGCAGTTTCCAAGCAGGCCCCACTTCTTCTCATGGGTTTTGACTATCTCCCAGAACAGAAGCAAGGCATGTCTCTGTGAGGGGAGAAGAAGGTCTGCTCCCACCTCCATCACTGCCTGGCAGTTGGGACAGAGGCTCACAGTCCCGAAAGGAGCACCTGGCTGATGTAACGCAGGCAGTGTGTTCTGGTTCCAGCAACACAGGCCTGCTCAAACTCACTCAGAGGCAGCGGGATGTGTTCTCAGCTCACCAGGAGCCACAGCCTCAAAGGACTGAGGGTAGGGAATGGTTTGGTTATCAGGTACAACACAGCTGTGACTGTCTCCTCTTCCCTCCTGCTTTCACCTGGCAATATTTCTGTCTTAATTCCACTTTTCAAGACAATCAGATGCAGCTCATTGTATAGTTCAGGTCAGTCACACAAATCTGTCCATCTCTGGCCATTCCTTTAGACTGGCTGATCTTGGTACAAACAACTGTGGGTAGGGGTTGGGAGAAATGACTGACTGGAGTACCAGTGCCATGGGCCGGGCTCTGGAACAAAAGAGATCAGTGTGATGAAATCCAGAATCGAAACCCTGTTTCGATTCTGGCACTTAGTAATTCTAGCCTGCAGTCCCCACTGATTTAAGCTGAAAGGACACAACTGGAGGCTTATCACATGATCACATATGCGCTATGTATGTGACACTTAAAAGTGGCACCTCTGTGGTGCACAGGAAGAAGAATTAAAAGAGCAAAAGCTGGGCGGAATGACATTGAAGAAGTGACACTTTTGCCAAGTGCTATGCTGTCCCCACTGATTTCTGTCTTGCGTTGTGAATCCCCTCGATACCAAACAGTTCTCTTGAAATGAATGCCAGCCAAATCTCACGTTAAATGATTGATGGTTTGCCTGCTGCTTGTACACAATACAATAGAAGGAGCAGTTTCGGCAAAGCCAGTGAATTGGCAAGTGTGCTCTTCATTTTTTTCTCTTGTAGATGCCACAGCTTGGTGATAAGGAAAACCAGAAAAGCACAATCTTTCTTCTGGTGAGCCCTTGGGACCATGTACTTTCTCAACAAATGAACTTTAAGATGGAGCACTCGGGTTAAATTATGGCTTTCCTTTCCCTGTTTGGTTACCCATCCAGCTAGCTGATGCCAGTAGCGCAGAGCAGCTACTGGCTCATGTCTGTGTCATACCTGTGAGCCTGTGAGGGTCTTACTGCTGTAGGGAGTCTTTTTACAAAGCAGCCCGATACATCACTACAGGGTTGATGACATATCTAAAGAGATCGGCCTTTTCGACTGCCACCTGCTTGTCTCACAAAGGAGTTTGTCACCTGCTTAGCGAGGTGTGGAGGAGAGCCTTCTCCTCACACCCCCTGGCCTGGGGTCAACTTTATAGAGCCAAAAGATGACTCGAAATGTGATTATCTCCTAATCCTCTGTTTAAACTGCTCCCACCAGTCACTTCAAAAGATTGCCGGGCTTGTTAAATTGCTTCTCACTTGAGATTAATGAGTCTTTAAGCAGAGCCAACAATGGCCAGATTGAAACCCCCTATAACTTGCACGGAATGCAATAGAACCAGGCGTCCAGGATTCTGCCCTGTCCCTCTGAAGTAGAATGTGTAATTTAGCCTTAGTTAAATATTAAGTAAATGTCTTGATGGGCTCGTTTGACTCAGTATATTGGTTTGGTCTTGACACATAATAGAGAAAAGTATTGGGTTTAGTGTAGGTTAACCATGGAAAACAAAAAGCCTTCAAACTGACTCATGTGGTAGATAAATACATCTGCCTCTCTGTAATTATCACATTATCTGAAAGTGATTCCTCCCATTCCCTTCTGTTATTGGCATATATTCACAGTACACAGTGTTGGGTTTCACAGAGACATTTTCATATAAGTACATAATGTACTTTGATCATGCTCCCCCCATGTGCCCTGCCCTCCCCGTTCTTTCCTTCTGCCATTAGTCCCTTTAATTCCCTTAAAGGGTTTCACTTCTATTGTCATGATGTGTGTGTGTGTGTGTGTGTGTGTGTGTGTGTGTGTGTGTGTGCAGCATGTGTGTATGTTTGTTTATTCTTCTACATAAAATCTGGCATCCCCAAATGATAAAAAATAAATGAACATGCTGACTAGAAGCCAGGCATGATGGTTGTCCTACTTTGATTTCTATTGCTGTGAAAAAGACCATGACCAAAAGCAACAGGAAAGGGTTTATTTGGTTTAT